CGTGTATTGTCAAACAATAGTGTATTATACTAATGGTTTGATCATATTGCACCAATCAACTACTATGTGCTGTCATGACTGATCATTCGGTGTGCTACACATATTGAATGCATGCAAATACATGATTGTCGATCCCTTGTTGTTGAAACAAGTTCAGATCACCATTAGCTCACTCACTCGTTGCACCAATGTGATTACATGATCAACCTGACACCAACCAAACCACACTCGAATATATATGTTCCAGTCATGTGCATGGTGTATCGATTGTCAACTCACAATGCCAACTCCAACACATTCCACCATGATTATGGTCACATCACACCATGCTGATGTATGTCGATCGGTATCACATTGCAACCAGTTATCATCCAATGACTGCAATGCAATACCGTGCATGTATTGTGACTGATACGCTGTGCACCATCAGCCAGTGTGCAACTGTCACTTGATATATCGAGTCTGATATGCAACAACATGCTGTGTTTACCATGATCAGGTTTTTGATCAACTTTGGACTCACAATACATGATTTGTCATGTTGGATTGTGTGGATATGTCATGGACTGCAATTTAGTTGCAGACACACATATGTTTGACATTGACTGATGCATACTGTGCAACGACTGATCAGTGCGAGTGTGATTGCACACTCGGTGGTATTGTGCATTATGGTTGTTTGACAATGGATGAATGCTGGATTAGTCAGTTATATGCAACCCATCTGAATCGACCTATTTGAACAAACACTCGATGCAACTGACAACAATGTGTATACATGGCTGTTGGATCAATCGAGTTTGTGCTGATACTGCCATACATGAGTTGATCAACAAACTTGTAGCACTGCCAAAATACACTCGTATGGTTTGCTTGTATGAGATAATCTTGTGGTTTAACACCCAAGTTTATTTTACAGTCGTATTCACGTAAAATCAAATACTTTTCTGTATTGATCTTGTAATGATTGTCTTGGAATAAACAATCATTACATATTCATTGTTGTTGTTGTTGTTGGAAATGGATTATTTGTTTTATTGAAGCTACAAGTTGTTTGGTGTCTGGAATGGCTCAGCACACACAGTCATTCCAAACACCAAAGTAATTGTCAGCAGGGTTCAAGAATGGACAGTATGATGCTGTATAGTGTAGTTCCAAACCTCGCGCTGTTTGTTGAATAGTTGGTAAACCATGTCTAATTAGAGTTGTTTTGTGGAATGGAATGTTGTCTAGAATAAAGTGACCGTTTGGAACCGTTTGGGAATGTTGCATGTCATTGTTTAACAAGTTAATATTACAGCATTCACTGCTGCCTTGATCAATCTCCAAACATATTGATCGTCATATGAAACACACACTATTAGACTATAGTTTTGAACTGAAATGTTGTTTTTGGACTGTACTCTTTCACCTCTGTTTGTATAGCCATACATTGTACAATCACCAAGTTTAAACCCAACTCGTCCATTGCAATCCAAATATTTGATTCTATTGTGCGAATGTTTTCAATACTTGACAAACTCATCCATGCCAATTCATCAGTCGCTTACAAGAGTGAGCTTTCTGTATGTGTTGTTCCATTCCAAGATGCTTGAAATGGTTGGCTGACAAATGTGTGCCTGGTAAAAGTCCATTCGAGCACTACCAACATCACTTTGTCCGAGTGTTGGTGACTTTACGAGGTTGTCACATATCCACTTTTCAATGTCTTGTTCGAGTCCAGACTCTGATAAACACAAATCTACAGTGTAAAGAGTGTACAGAGTGGAAACACTAAACACTTTGTCAAGTTCAGAATGTCTTGACTACAAACTGAAACCCAAGACTTTGGCATGACAGAATCTCAAACAGCAGCAATGAAATGACCCAGAACTATACAGCATAACGTCTGTGACAAGAACAATTGTTTTACCACTCGACATAGTTGTTTTGGTTCCAGAACTAAAAAATATGATGGTTATGGTTGAACAAGTGACTAGATCCGTCAAATATCTCAGATTTGAACACTTATAGTCGAGGCTCTCATTTTCAGAGTTTAATCAGCTTGACTCTGTATTTCTGACGTTGATAGTTTGTTGTATAACAACTTGATACAACAAGAACATATCAGAGCTTACTCGACCAACCAACGCACACTGGAGTGTACAACAAACCATTGTGTAGTGGCATTCAGGTCATGTCTTTTACCACAGTCACCTCAATAACTGGTCAAGGTTTCAAATCCCACAGTGTTTGATATACACCAATACCCAACACTCTGTTGAACCATGCTACTGTGAATTTTGCAAAGCGTTTAGAACGCCATGTGGAATGGAAACTAGACTTCAATTTCCATCCATATCAAAACACCAATCGACAATTTGGAACCACATTCAACGTCGGTTTGACACATTGTTTACAAATGCAATATCGCAAATTGTACAAGAACATACGCAGTTTGTTGACATGTTCCATGCGATTTCAGACCACAACTACCAACAGTTGATAACCTAATAGTAAACACACATTATGAGCAACAAGACCATTGACACACATACCTTGGAATTATGAACAAGATGCTTATAGATATTGAAAACACCAAGAAACAACTAGATGAACTCGATACTCGACAATCACCACATACATACAATGTTGCACCAATTTGTTGATTCCAACATCACCACATAATGTTGGACAATACAGCATGTCAATGGTGCATCAATGACACATGAACAGACGCTAAACATCAGTCAATATACATGTCAAAATACACCACAATTAGTCGAGTTTCAAATGGTCACATACAACACATTCAACACAAATTATAAATGTCTGCAAACCGTGCATATGCATGCTCAATCAATGGTGATATACTATATACACAATCAGTTTAAATATGGCTGGGAAATAACTGCTATTGGCCAAGTTATATGCGTTCAAAGTGGATCATTTGCATCATCACAATCGCGTACTAAATGGTCGATTTCACAACCAATACACAAGCCTGTGCTGATATGGTGACATGACAATACTTGTATACACTTGGTATTGTATCATGTGCAATTTCAATACAATCCATGCATGTTTGATAACACAATAATTGAATAGCTGACGTTTTGTAGGTTGAATATTATAGTCGATGTTTGGCGTGTCAATCACTCGGCCTACAGTGGTCGTACAATGTCAGGGACAACTGCAATGTATGGCACACATATAGTCATGTATTGTGTGTATAGTTACGTCGTCGTTGGTGCAATATATCAATGTGTATCATGACCACCAAATGCATGTCCGAAGGTGTCGTTTTGGCGTGTTGATGTCGTATATCTTGACCAATACTGACACTAGTTGCATGCGATTGACACTGAACATGAGTATACATGCATACTATATACTGGACATGCATCAGGCCATATCGTCAACTAAATTGGAAACATGTTATAATCACGACTGTCGACTGAATTGGACGCAACTGGAACACATTCAAAACACACGATATTACACTGTAGTTTGGACTGTATACACATCATATATTCATGTTACAATGGCCGATACATTCACTTGATTACAATACATATCGATGACTGGCATATTCACTAACGATTGATTGTGTAATGTATGAATATCAAATGCATTGTATAGTTTAATTGACTGGCTGTTTGACCTGCATTTCAACTAGTATTTAGACTAGTATTCTGATCGGTATTTGACGATTGTTTAAACCATATATTGACCAGTTGTTTGGCCTGCATTTTAACTAGTATTCTGACTTGTATTTGACTGTTGTTTGACGAGTATTTGACCTGCATTTCAACCTGTTGTTTGACGAGTGTTTGACTAGTTTAGCCTGCATTTCAACCTGCATTCTGACCAGTTGTTGACTATTATTC